GCGAGCCGTAAGTCACTGGATCGCTACTCTCCCACCCAGCCAAGCCTGAGGAGGCGGTTGCAGCCGTGGTGCTGGCGCCCCGACAGGCAGCGGGCCAGAACCCAGAGCAGCTGCCGCTGGCGGTGGATCCAGAGTGGGGTCTCGAGGCACCTTCATGCCCAGGATTCTCCCTTCCACCACCACTTCCGGTTCCGCCACCGCCATTTCCGGTGTCACCGCCCACCACCCGCTGGGTTTTTGTTTTTGTTTTTTCAGTTTGGGCACTCGGGCCCAAAAAGGTTCACCACCACTGCTCTAGACAGCGCTTGCCAATGATATCTTTCTCCCCTGATCTGGCCTATATTTCTTTCATATTGTGTTTATGGCCGCGGCCAAGAAAAGGTTGAGAATGGCGGTCCTACACAGCATCGCCCCGGGAATTCTGGGAAGATTACTCAAAAATGTATAACTTTTCTCAAGATCTGGTGGTAGCAGGGGCTGAACAGGGATGGCAAGGAGCGGGAGAGACCCATGTGCGTGCCACAATGTCTGCCTTTCATCCCCACCTGCTTTGTGGCTAACAGGAAAGAAAGCTAGTTTTGCTGGCTCGGATGTGTTTTTTTGCACAAGGAATGGGGAACGCCATTTTGTTCATCATTAGAGACAAGATAAACGTCTTGGGCTAGCCCTGCCATTTCCACTTACACCCAAACGAAAGGCCAAAAGGCCACAGAAGGGTCTGTATCACTGCCAAGGGAGGGGGAGGAAATCCCTGTTGGGCCACCCGGTGACTCCCACCCAAGCCAGTCCCATTGTTACCCTCAGTTCTTGCTCCCTGGCGGAGGCATCGTCCTTTGTCTCCTGCAGGCGCCTTTGCCACCGGGTTATGATCTGATCTTGCTCGGCTAAGGCCTCGGCCAACAAGTCCTCCTTCTCCTGGATCTGCTGAAGCATCCCTGGGGCAAAGTCCTGGCTGCCGAGGGAAATGGCAAGGGCCTGAGACAGAGAGAGAGAGGGGCACTGCAAGGGTTGCAAGGGTGAGCAGCTTACTTGTAACCACAGTCATTTGCCCACAGAATCCTTAGTGCTTTCAGGCAATGGCAGGC